CACTATTCAACCCAGTACACACCCCATCCTCAGTGGCACGGCCAGGATTCCAACCTGGTCTCCTAAGGCCCAGTCTGGGCTCGCCCCACCACACCTGGTGGCTGGGCCCTCTTCATCCCCCTCTTCTCACTAATGGCTTCCATGGAGCCCTCTCCCACCCTTCCCCAGCCCCCAGCACAGACAGCCGCACCTTTCCTGGCGGAAGGATGTTGTCTTCTAACTGTGGAATCCCGGGGGGCAGAGACCAATCCCAGCCTTCTCCATGGAGCCCAGTCGGGGACCTAGGGATGCTCCATCAAGACTTGACAAATTGAGCCAAACTAAATTGGATGGATGAGTCCTCCTTCATGAAGTCGTGAGCACCCCACTGACTGAAGCAACCAAGCGGAGGCCAGCTGACCTTTGTCCCTATGAGAGGTGCTGTTCTCCCAGGAGAGTCGTCCAACACAGAGCTTTGGAAGAGCATAGGAGGAGGACTAATGGTCCGAGCTCTCCCACTTATAGCTGTGTGACCTTGGGTGGGTTATTTCACCTCTCTGTGCTTTGATTAGTGATAATAATAGTATCCATTTCAAAAGGTTGTGAGGATTAAATGAGATAATGTTTATAAAGTCCTTGGCCTAACATGTAATAGGTGCTCAATAAAGATTTAGCTTTAAAAAAAAAGGAGAGATGGGGCTGGCCCCGTGGCCGAGTGGTTAAGTTCGCGCGCTCCGCTACAGGCGGCCCAGTGTTTCGTTGGTTCGAATCCTGGGCGCGGACATGGCACTGCTCATCAGACCACGCTGAGGCAGCGTCCCACATGCCACAACTAGAAGAACCCACAACGAAGAATACACAACTATGTACCGGAGGGCTTTGGGGAGAAAAAGAAAAAAATAAAATCTTTAAAAAAAAAAAAAAAAAAAAAAAAAAAGGAGAGGCCTGCTCCAGATCACCAGGAAAGAGGGCGGTGAAGCAGGCCAGAGTATTCGTAGTAGTAATAAAAGGCAGAGAAGGATTCGTTAACCACACACAGCACCTTCTGTCGTGCACGTGTTCACAGATGATACCACAGCCTTTGAGACGTGACAGTCAAGCAGTGCCAATGGCAGAGTCCACATTTAAACACGGCTCTATGTCTAGTCCTAGAGCCTCAGGGAAAGTGACCTGCACTGTAGATCCATGGGCACACTGTTGGCATTGGGGTGGAACGGTTCTTTCTTACGATGTCCAGCACCCCTGGCCCCTGAGCCACTGTGGGCCCTTAGTAACCCCCTATTATGGTGTCAACCAAAAATGATCCCAGACACTCACTTCCAAATGGCCTTAGGATGGGAGCTAGACGCAGAAGTCCTGGCCGCCGCTCTGTCCTTGCTCCGACTGGACCCAGCCTGGCCCAAGAGGAGGAGCCAAGGATGTGGAGTCGCTGCCTCTACCCGGTCCAGATACAGCTCGTCCCACTGGGGTGCGGAGTGTGGGCTGCCAGACCACCAGGGCTTCCCGCCACAGCCAGCCTTGGAGGCCAGCCTGCTGTGGAGTCCAGGCCTCTCTGAACCCCCCCACCAGCTGGCTGTGCCTCCCCCCTCAACATCGCATACTGCTGGCTCCACAGGCCTCTTGCTCCTTCGGTCCCCAGCAGGGCCCATCATCTGATTCTCATCAAACATGCAGAACTGATGTTGCACAAGTCCCCCCCAGAGGGGATTAACATAATACCCCTGATTCCTCCTTCCCCTCTCTCGGGCTGTGCAGCCCCCTGGCCGCGGCCCGCCTTTGTTTCAGGAGCCATACACTGTATCTGGAAATGTTACTGCAATTAAATATGCACAAGGAGGGGGACAGGGAGGGGGAAAATGAGGACAATGAAGGATGTGAAACATAGATGCAGCAGCTGCTTGTTGCCATAGAAACCCCAGCTCCCCACCACCATCGCTGCCAGCACCCCTCCCCAGCTTACAATTCCAGGAGGGCCAAGGGCACCGCGGGCCTGGGGTGCTGGAGCTGGGGGCGGGGGGGGCACGGTCCAAGCCGTCCAGGCTGGAACACCTGTGGGCTGCCAGGGTTGATTTTGGGGTCTCTTCTGTTTTTCCTCCCTCCGCCCCACTGCCTCTGACCCTGGGGCTTCTGACTGGCAGAAACACCCTCCAGTAGCTGTGCATTCCAGTCCCAGTTACATAATAAATGACGGGAGAGCTTCTGCATTTGGCTTTGGGATGTCACAACATGGAGCCAAAACAGCACATTCAGAGTCTGGCGGGATCCAGACCTTCTCTGTGCTTCTCCGGGTCGTCTCCGACCGCTGGCAGTGAGGCTTGGCTCCCTCCCACCTCCTTTTCGTCTTTTACCCACAGCACTGAGCGGGGTTCTGCATAGTGTGGTCTGTGTGTTGGAGGGGGTCTGGGGGGGGGTCTGCACACCGTGTTCCAGAGGCCTGGCAGGCTGCCAGACGGCTGGGTGTTCATGGGCGGATCCCAACAAGATGCTGCTCAGTAGGGACCCGTGTGAAGTCCCAGACCTGGGCCCACATAGCTGGGTGTCCAAGAGTAGAGAGAGGGAAAGTGGCCTGGCAGTGGCTCGCAGACACGAGACCAGGGCTTTAGCTGTGTGCAAGCAGAGCATAAGGCAGTGGTGTAATGGGGCTGTCTCCTGTCTCCCCTCCATCCCCCCAAAAATGAATGCGGGCTTAGTGTGGGGGTGGTAGCCCCCCTCCATCCTGTCCTGGTCAGCGAAGGCCAGTTGTCAGATCCCCACCACTTGGCAAAGCACCGGCCACATATGTCTAGTCCTACATGAGGGGTATGGGCGGGAGAATTAGGAGAACTGTGGATAAACCAGTTTACTAACCAGCCAGAGACTAACCAGATTGATGAAGGCATTTGAAACCATATTAAATAAATACTGAAAAAGAAAATCCTGGGGCCAGCCCGGTGGCGCAGCGGTTAAGTGTGCACGTTCCACTTTGGCAGCCTGGGGTTTGCTGGTTCGAATCCCGGGTGCGGACATGGCACCGCTTGGCACGCCACGCTGTGGTAGACGTCCCACATATAAAGTAGAGGAAGATGGGCATGGATGTTAGCTCAGGGCCAGTCTTCCTCAGCAAAAAGAGGAGGATTGGCAGCAGATGTTAGCTCAGGGCTAATCTTCCTCAAAAAATAAAATAAAAAATCAATGAAATAAAATCCTAAGACTGCCAAGCCTGAGGAGAAGTCAAAGGCAACTAGCTGCCTTCCGCTGTGTAAGGGCAGCTGTCAGTGGCACGGGTTTAGGCTGGTTCTGTAGGGCCCCAGCGAGTGGAACCATGACCCGTGGAGGGAGCTATGAGGAGACCAAGTGTGACCGAGGAAGATCTTTCTAAACGTCAGAGCTGTTGACTTTGGAATGGGCCACTGAGCCAGGTAGTGAGTTCTCCAGCCCTGGAGATATTCAAATGAAAGTTGGAGATCCATTGTCAAAGATGTGGTCAAGCACATTCAGCTTCTCAACCCTATACTTCTATAGCATTCATTGTCAGAAAGTGTCCTTTGGTGAGGTCCCTGTCGCCCGGTGGCTGAGATCCTGGACTTGTGCTCCGAGGGGTGGGAGATCACAGAATACTCCTGACGGAAGAGTGAGCCAGTATCAGAGCTCTTGTCGTTGGTTGAGGGGGTCACTCAGCCCCCGGGGGGGGAGGAATCGGACATCTAAATGACAGGATTTGAAGGGCATGGGGCTGCCCAAACCGTTTCCCTCTGATGGCCCAACGTTCCAGGGTTAGCGGTCCTTACTGCGGGGTCAGCGTTACCCTCTCCTCGGCAGCTTCCTTCGAAGTCACGTCACTGTGCCGATGCCTAGGGCTGTGCCCGGGGGAAACAGCCGCCCGGGGTCTTCTGTGCCTCGGGGAAGCAGCGAAGGCCCGGAGCACAGAGGGATCCACAGGTCGCTTCTCAGCCTCAGTCCGGCTGGGTCGTGGGTGCGAGGACACCACCGTGAGCTCAGGGAGCCCAGGGGCCCATGCCAGCCCCTCCCCAGCGCTCGAGTCCACCTCTCCCCTTTTTCAGTCAGCTCTGACTAGCTCAAGTTCAGGGTTTGCCTTAGGGCCTTGGACAAGGAGATCCAGTCCACCTCTGGGTGGAGTCATATGTCAGACTCAGCAAAACAGGGGGCCTGCGGCCTGTCGTCCTGGCTTCCCTGCCGAGTCCTGGCAGTAGGACTGTGGAGGGGGCGGGAAAGTACAGTGCGGCGTCTGCAGCTTTGCCGTGCACAAGACGGGTGTTCGAGAAGCCTTTGTTGAATTATTATCATGTATCTGCATCTCCATGTCCCCACTCCTAGTGTTGCTTAGCTTCAATAGTGGTTTGAGTGAATAAATGATTAAAATTGAGAAAAATGACTTAGGCTTGTGTTGGGCTCAGTGCAGAGGGAGAGCTGGGAGCCGGAAGGCCTGTGGTCCAGTCCACGTACTGGCTGTGTGACCTGAAAATGGAGGCCACGCCTCAAGCAGCTGTGAAAACAAATAGGCAATGAATGCAAAAGAGCTCTGCAAACTCTTGCAAAGAGTTAGGAAAGATGAGGACTAATATTCACTAAGTGAGCACTTACTGTGTACCAGACACTTTATTATTTTTTCAATCCTTACATCCACTCTACGAAGTGTTATTTGCACCACATTATACAGACAAGGCTCAGAAAGGTTAAGTAACTTTCCCAACACCACACAGCTAATAAGTGGACAAGTCAGACTTGAACCCAGATATCAGTCTGACTCTAAAGCCCAATGTCTTTCTGTAAAACTCTGAAGCATCCACACCTAAAAGAATAATTACCTTAATTCCTATTTGTTTACATGTAGAATATCTTCATCTATTGGAGATGCTCCACTGCCTTCAAGGCTGCAACAACGTCACTCTCTCGTTTTCCCTGGTGCCTCCCCTCCCTGGGCAATAGTTCTGGCCTGGGAGCAGGCCAGCTGCTGGCCCAGGTTGCTTCTGATGGCGTGCCAGCTGGGGGAGTAACGGACTATGTTGTGATTGTGTCTCCAGAAAACAGGTTTTTTATTACTTCCCATGGCGGGCTGTACATCTCCGACGTGCAGAAGGAGGACGCCCTCTCCACCTACCGCTGCATCACCAAGCACAAGTACAGTGGGGAGACCCGGCAGAGCAACGGGGCCCGTCTCTCCGTGACAGGTAGGCGAGGGCCGGGGTGAGGGTGCCACCCAGCCCTGGGACTGGGCACGTCCACACCACGGGCTGGGGAGTCCACTGTGTACACAGGGGACTCGGAGACGGAGATTAAGGAACACGGGTACAGAAGCCGCTTGGGGCAGACCTTGTCTAGTTTGGTTTTGGGTGTCCTTCGTATAAAGACTCCACAGGTGAATTCTTTTGAGGAGTCTGTACCTGAAGAAGCTTAACTCTCCTAAAGAACTGATATGCTACCACTTGTCAAACAGTAAGGGTTATGGGACCCATCCTCTTTTCCTCTTTTTGCCTTTGCTGCCAGGAAGCTCATAGGTAGAAATCTGATGCTCAAACATAGTAACATAGATTGGATTGGATTGGAATAGATTAGATTAGGGAGGTTCTTGTATCTCTTCACGTCTCTAAGTGTTTTTTAAGATTCTGTTTTATCTATTTATGAGCACCTGTGTATCTCTTGTTGTAGCCCATCTCACAACATTTGAAAGTAGGCAGAATATAATTCAGAATATAATTCATAAAAAAAAATATAATTCATAAACAGAATATAATTTCTTCGTTAAATAGAGGATTCTGATTCTGGATTGGTTATAGCTTCTTAGAAGGGATGGAAGCTAATATTTACTGCATCCCCCCGTGTGCCTGAGATTTCATTCATTTGCGGCCTGTTGGGCACCACACAGCCTTGTGAGGTGTGCGCTGCCCTCCCTACTTTTGCAGGCAAGAAAACCAGATCTTAGGGAAGCCGAGTAACTCGCCCAAACTGTTTAACCAGTCGGAGGCGCAGCCAGGATTCTCACTCCAAGCCCCCTGCCCCCAGCATCCTCCAGCTGCAGACCCCCACGGAAGGGGCCAATTGAAACACAACGTATGTGCCGCCGTCACAGAGAGTAAGGAAGGGCACATGATGCCGCCCCAGGAGGGCCTTCTGGAGCAGTGCTCGTCAAATTCTCTTGACAGTGGCCCACAGACAGACGATTTTATCCTAACCTATGCCGTGCACGCTGGCATCTCCTACGACACGCATTGCAATGCACTCTCATGTTCTCTATTCTATTCTCTCCTATTTTGATTTATCTAAATCTGGTTGCAGCTCACCAAATGGATTTCACAACTTCCTAACAGTTTGTGACCTGCGATTTGAAAATCTCTGCTCTTGAGGGGGTGGGGTTGGAGTGGCTTTTGGAAGGAGGATGAAATGATAGTCAGAACGCCTAGGTTTGGGGACCAGACTCACCAAACCACGCAACCCCTCTGGGCCCCTGGAAAGGAGCTTGAGCATGTGACCGCTCTGACTGCGTGCGCCTCTGACATTCTGTGGTTTGGTGAGGACTTTATCCAGGACCCCGTCTCATTTGCCAGAAGCATTTGGAGGCAAGACCAGGGGAGCAGGAGCCAGGGGGGCGAACATGGGGCTGATTCCCCCTGCGTCTCCAGTGCCTGGCCCTCTGCCTGGCTCATAGTAGGTGCTAGATAAATATCTGTGGAATTAACTGATGCCAAGGGAATCAGTGCTGTCATGTGGGGAGCAGAGAGAGCTGCACTGTGTGGCCCCATCTTTGTGGCTAGACTTTGGAATCTGCAGCCCTGTTCCCAAATGTGTCGGAGTGGTTCCCTTCCAAATTACAGGGACTTGTCTGTATGGTGTTTTGCATCTCATTTGCATGCTTCTCCTATGATGCGGGAGAGGCACAGAAACCCCTCCTGCAGGGCTGCCTCTTTCTCTTACACGAGTAGTTAGCCCCTTCATCTTACTAATCTCACCTCCAGCTTTTGGGGGGAATAAGCAGGCATTCCTCAAAAAAGATACTCTTTCAACTGGAGGATATGTCAGCCCTTCTCCTTCGGCTCTTCATTCCCCACCTGCTGTGAGAAGGGGAGGGGAGGAAGAGGATGAGAACGCCACGCAGAGACTGGGGGAGAAACAGAACCGAGAAACTACACAGAGAGACAAAGACAGGAGACGACAGCAACAGCGTGAAAGAGAGTTAAAGGAAGGAGGAGGGAACGGAGGGGAGCCAAGGGGAAGGGCCCCGTGGAGTGACACAGGCCCTGATGTGATGTGATATGACAAGGCGATCTGCAAGCTGCTTGTCTCGGCAAAAATGCAACAGATCCTGGAAGGAGGCCGTGCAGGGGGGCATGGGTGTCAGGGAGCTCAGGCCTCAGCCTCCAGCCTCACATTTCAGGACCACTCCCAGGATGGCGGGTGGGGATCAGTCATGGGAAAGGCTGGGCGTGGGTTTCAGCTGAAATGTATCAGTCTTTAGAGACTGGAGCCCCTTGAGCTTCTGAGGCTGGTGTCCCAGAAGGGTGTGGTCCCTCCCTGGCAGGAAGCTCTGTGCCAACAGCTGGAATCTAGGCATGGAGACATGCAGCTGGGGAGTCCTGAGAGCTGGGTCCTGCCAAGGCACCCAGTGGCTCAGGGGGTCTGAGCCCGGCACACCCCCAAGGGACGGCCACCTCACCCTCTCCCCAGGCATAGAGGCAAGAGGAAGGGGTGAGAGGATACACGTGGCAGCACCTTGTCGTTGGTCATTTGCTGAGGGCAGCAACTATAGCTGTGGCTCTTCAGTCCTCACAAAGTGTTTGATAAAGGAGGAGGGAGGGAAGGGGATGGGCCATGGTGAAGTATATTGGAAAAAGGGCTCGTGAATCAGGCCCAAGTCCCCGTCTTAGCCTCCCCCCCTCACTAGCTGTGCAACCTGCCACAAAATAAATCGTGTTTCCAAACCTCGGCTTCCTCATCTATAAAACGGGAGTGACAAAAGGTCCTCCACAGGGTTGTCATGAGAGTTAAATAGGGTACCGTGGGCAAAAAGCTTAGTGTGGTGTCTAACTCCCAGGAAGCACCCAGTGGCGAGGAGCTGCTGTTTTGATGGTGGCGCTTATCATCGTTCTGTCGTTGCTCCCTTATTATTCCTACTGCATTTCCAAAGTGTGTGTGCGTTGGAGAAGCAACTTTCGTTTTTCTGTATTGTCCAAGATAAGAGGAGGCAGTTGCAAGAATAGTCTGGGCCACCAAAAATACAACCTAATAACAACCATTCTGTACACCTACCTGCTTTTTAGAGCTTACCAAGTGCTTTCATGTGGAATAGGCATTATCATCCACATTTATAAAGGAGGGAAAAACCAGTGACCAGAGAGGCTGAGCGACTGGGCCATGCTCCCAAGCTCGCGGAGGACAATGCCAGGTACAGCAGCCTCCTCGGGGTGCCCCGACCCCCACCCAGCCCATCCCCAGCTCCAACACGCCCCCCGGAGGCTTCTCAGGGCTGGGCCATCTGTCTCCTGGAGCCCTGCCCCAGCCCCTCAGCAGCGCCTGAGCCCCCCGGGCTGCCGCCAGTACACACCGCAGCATTTTACTTCTGCTCCGGAGTAATGAAAGAGGTTTCTTTCCCTCAGAATTTAATTTCACGCCTGAGACTCGGTGATTAATTCTCTCCCCCCTCCCCTTCCTCCACCACCCTGTCGGCCTCTCCGCTTGTAAATTCTGCGGTGTGCCACGGAATTTGTGTATTTTGCATCAATTAAGTGTCACATTGAGTAATTCTTCCCTGGCACCGGGTTTGTTTATCCCGACCATTCCCACGGGGTTGTGGGGGGGAAGAGGCCACAGAAGCTGGCAGGCAGGGAGGGCGGGCGAAGAATAGTAATTGCCGGGCACATCTGCATAGTGATATAGCATCCGTCAAGCTCCGTGACACACATTTGCCGTTGCTGCCGACAACAACCTTCCGAGATCTGGAGGCGGCACTGTCACCTCCACCGTGCAGGCGAGGAAACTCAGGCTCTGAGAGATCATCCGACTCACCCAAGGTCACACAGCTTCTCAGTGACCCGGGCAGGACCTGCACGTAGGTCTCATGATGCCCCGCCCGGCTCCTTCTGAAAAGCAGTGGAAGGTGGGAAGGGAGCAGAGTCTTCTGGAAGGTCTTTCCCCAGAGAGGAGAATTCCTAGCCCAGCCCTCTCCAAGGCAGACGAGCTGAGGACAGAGGAAATTTCCCATTAGTCAAGGAGGACATAGACGGGGGTCAGCCGCGCCCACTATTCACTCTTGGGCAAAATTCAGTATTAGATTATTCCGTCTCGGGTCCCATTGACGGAACAAGGGCGCGGAGAGACCTGATTTCTGATCTTGGCTCTGCAGTGTGATCCTGAGCAGGTCACTGCACCTCTCTGGTCTCAGAGTTCGCCTCTGTGCTCTCCAAGGTCCCTAAGCCAGCTCTACTAGTCTGTAAGCCTATCAAGTTGTCAGGGTGGAGAAATCAGAGCACCGGCCCACCCTGCGCCTGAGGGCCCCATTCATCCTCCCCCAGACAGTAATGGCTCCATGGCCCCTGCTCTGTGCCAGGCACGGGAGACACAGCAGTGGATCAGTACAGTCTCAACCTGTTCGCGGCCTCCCAGGGCCTGTGCTGACTGGTGGTGGAAGGCCGTGGAGGAAGCAGCGACAGTGGTGGCCTCTGGGAAGCGAAATGGGTGGGGGGCAGGGGCAGGGGTGAGCGAGACTCCCTTCATGCTATACTCTTCTATACTTTCTGAACTTCTGCCATGTGCATATATTACACTTTTTAAATTTTTCTTTAAAAAGAAAGGGTTGTTTGAAAATAAAATGAAAGAAAAAGAAAATGCTATGGGAGTCCAGCGAGACTGGCCTGGGGGAGACATCCAGAGGGGCGACATTGAAGCTGGTCTGTGGATGATGACTAGGAGGTGGCTGAGCAGAGTGAGCTGGCTGGGCACCCAGGTGGGCGACAGGGTGATGGCGCAGCACACCACAGTGGACAACTGCTGAGATGAGAGGGGAGGGGAGCAGTGGAGGCAGGCTAGGCAGGACGTGGTTGGGACTGGGCCAAAGAAGGCCTGGGGGTTCAGGGTAAGAAGTGTGGGCTGTATCATGTAAGTAAAGGGGGCCGAAGGAGGTTTTACAGCAGGGGAGGCCCCCAGTGGGCAGAAAACCCAGGGAGGCCTTTCATGGAGAACTGGGGCCTTAATCTTCTGCAGGTTAGGGCACAGGTCCCCCAGTCACTGGTTTCTCTTGGTTTGAGAATGCCAAACGAGGAGAATTGTTGGCGGGGAGGGAGGTGGTTCCCAGAAGGCTTCCCTTTGGAATCCTGGGCTCCAGAGGAAATGCACTGGCCTTCTGGGGGTCTGCCCAGATCGCAGGTGGGAGAAGACAGGACGGGGCAGGCGGATTGTTCCCCCATCCTGAGAGGCACCCCCAGTCTGGCCTGAGGCCCAGACCGAGACTTACCAAGAAGTGCAAACTCAAGATGCCATGATTCTCCTATCCAGGGGGTCCCTGCTCCCGAGTCTGGGCCAGACTCCAGGGACTGTTGGTATGAAACGAGCTCTCATGCACACTCCCTCCCTCTCTGCTCCTCTTGCCCTGTTTCCCTCTTTCCATCTGTCTATCTGTCTGTCATTCTAGCCTAGTCTGCCCGCCTTATCCTCTCCTCCCCTGAGCCCCTGCTCCCAATCACAGCTCTCAGGGCCTCCATCGGGCCTGAGTAGGAGAGTTTGGGCCAGAATCTGAGGCTCAGGGAGACACGTGAGCCCCCTCGCTGGGTCTGGCTCACTCTGGGCAGTGGGCAGCAGGTTCCTGTTCTGGGTACTTGCCTTCCCTCCCTCACCCCCTGCACCCCACCCAGGGCTGGCTGGGGCTGCTGATGCTGTCTGCCTTCCAGACCCTGCCGAGTCGATTCCCACCATCCTGGACGGCTTCCACTCCCAGGAAGTGTGGGCTGGCCACACCGTGGAGCTGCCCTGCACCGCCTCTGGCTACCCCATCCCTGCCATCCGCTGGCTTAAGGACGGCCGGCCTCTCCCAGCTGACAGCCGCTGGACCAAGCACATCACGGGGCTGACCATCAGTGACCTGCGGACCGAGGACAGCGGCACCTACATTTGTGAGGTCACCAACACCTTCGGCTCAGCAGAGGCCACAGGCACCCTCACGGTCATCGGTGAGTGCAGGATGCCCCTCTTCCAGCCCCAGTAACCTTTGAGAGCACCACAGTGTGACAGAGAGGGGCATGGGGGCAGCTGCCCCTGCCTCTGGCTGGCTCCAGGGGATAATCCCCTGGTTGAGGAAGGCAGTTTGGTGCCCTGGGAAAACCTCTGGGTTTGAAATCAGAAGACTTGCCTTTTGGTTCTGGCATTATCAGACTGACTTTGGGCAAATCACCTAACCATGATCATTGCCTCCATGTCCTTTTCTGAAAAATAGGGTAATGATCCTGGCCTTCCGACCTCCCAGAGGTCACGTGGGTCAGAAGGGATGATGAGGGTGATGGAGAGAGGTTAACAGGGCTTCCTGGCTTGTTGGGAGGAGGCGGTGTCTGTATTAAAGAAAACAATGCTGATGTTAATCAATTAGAGAGGACATATGTACCCCATCCGAGGCGACATTCAGAATATTTAGAATAATTGATAGGGGCACTGATCGGTCAGATCAGGCACTGGGTGTAAACAACCAAGCCAGCCTTTCCAGGACCTGCCAGCTGGATATCAGCTCTGGTCCTTCCTGTTCCTCCCCCATCCCAGAGCCCCAGGGGTCCAGGGAGCCCCGAGGGAGAGCAGGGGGCCTTAGCAGACCCCTGCTGCTACTGCTGCTGAGCCCCCGAGCGGGCAGAGAAGTCGAGGCAATGGGGCTGATGCCAGAAAAGAGCCCTGAAGGAAGATTCTTGAAAGTTAGGGGCTTCCTTTACCCCCGACTCCTGCCCCTCCCTTATGTGACCCTGCCTCTGTTGCCCCATCTGTAAAATGAAGAGGCCATTCCAGCTCAGGTATCCAGAGTCTGACTCTCTGAGCTCCCTGCTCTCTAGGCTGCAGGGAAGGTGCTGGCAGCAGGGGGGCTGGGATTCAGAGAGCTTCAGGGAATTTCACTCCTGTGAGGCCCTGAAGGTGGTACCTGATGGCATCTTGAGGGTCGTTTCCTCCAGGCAGTGAAGGAGGCTGTCCAGAGGTGGTCCCACCCCCATCCTACAGAAGGTTCCCTCTGCCACAGAGATTGAAGCTCTCCTCCCACCTCACCACCTGTCTCATGAGCAGAGAGCTGCCAAACTGCGGACCCTTGGGTGGGCCAGAGAACCACAGAGCCTGCCCCCTCCTGGGCTGGCCTCCTGGGCCTGGTGTCCTGTCACCCTCAGCCCAGATGTGTGCCCAGTGTCCTCCCCACAGTGAAGAGGTCTGGATGGGTGGAGTGCGTTTATCCGCAGGGCTGGGAGGAAGCCCTCCCAAGCGAATTCACCGGAAGCTGGAGGAGCAGAAAGAGCCCCAGGAAGCGCTCTGGGAGTGACAGTGCATGATACAAATGCTTGGGTTAAAATGCCACCGGCCCACTTCAGGGCCTAGGGCTTCCTCATGCACAGACAAGCCCTAAAGCTCGGAGCAGGCAGACAGAAGGACAGGAGTTGGTACCCACCCCTTTTCGCCCTAAGCACTGTCCAAAATGGTTTGGTCTAATATTACCTTCACCCCCTCCCCCACCCTCCTGCTATACACACACCACACACTCATGCTCACACCTGCATACACACACACACACTGTCCCAGGGAACAGGTGAGGAGGGCAACATACCCCCCAATCCTTGGGGAATTAGCAACTGACTGGGTACTTTGGTGTTCACAGCTCCTGCCCCAGCACACACAGGCCAGCAGGTACTTAAATGCACACAGGCAGATGTGTTAAAAGTTGACACGCCCACTTCCCCGTACACACATGCACACGTGTAATAGTGCCTGTGCACATACACAGACATGCACTTTTCTCCACCCTAACATGCTCACATCCTAGCACACGCTCACAGCTCTACAATAAGTAACTGCCTCCAGCTGTGTGCACACCCCACTGCCCCGTATGCATAGGTAGCCCTGATCCTCCTCTGATGCTCAGCTCCCACCGTCCCTCACACTGGGCTTGGCTGGACAACCAGGTTCAATGGGAAGTGACATAGCCTTTCTCTGTCTTCCATCCTCTCTGACTGCCCCTCTCTGCCAACTTCATGGACAAGAAAGCAATGTTTTTCCTAGCCACCGCCCCCCCCCCCCAGGCGCATCCTGCCACCAAGCCGGTGCAGGGGCAGTGAGTTCAGAGCGGCTGGCTGGCAGAGCCCTGGAGCCCTGGCTGGTGACTAGGACAAGCAGGATGCCACCCGCCTTTTGGTGCTCTGACGTTTCCTGAGCAGCAGCAGCCCTGGGAGCCAGCAGGGACAGCCGCGCATCAGTCGACTCGTGTGTGATGTGACTGTACCCCACCTAGCCGGGGCCTGCCATCCCCCCATCCTGCAGGCTGCCTCACTGGGGGTCCCAGGCTCCTGCAGCCCTCAGCCTCTTGCATAGAACACCAAGCCCATGGAGATCAGGGGAGAGAGGCCAGCTTGGGGTGGGTCACCAGCCAGCCAGGCAGACAATCAGTAAACGTGACTCAGGCAGCCGTAGGGATGGAAAGATGAGAGACGCTACCCTGCTGTCAAGTGGCTCACAGTCCAGAGGGAGAGACAGGCACAAAGAGGGGCTTAAAAGACCACGTGCTTAGAGCAGTGTCAGTTACACACAGAAAGGCCCAGAAGAGGGGTCCTTAACCCAGCCTGGGAGGGAAGTGATGTCCAGGAAGGCTTCCTGGAGGAGATGACTTGAGCTTAGTGTGAAGGATGAGTGGGAGTTAGGCAAAGAAAACAGAGCTCTAGGCAGAGGCCTTGGGGCAAGAAGTAGCCCAGGATGTGCAGGAACCACAGGCAGGTTGCTGTGCAGCAGAGGTGACAACAGAAGGAGGGGTCAGGTCCCCAAGGGCCTCGACGGCCCTGAATGCCATGCTGAGTCTTTGAGCGCCGTGGAAGTTCTGAGCAGGGCAGTGGCCGGCTGCAGCGTGGAGGAGGGATAGATGGACACCGGGAGAAGGGAGGCAAGAAGGAGGGTACCGCATGGGTCCAGGCCAGGAGCTGCAGCCTGCAGCACAGCAGGGGCGGTCAGACGAAAAGCAGGGACCGACTGGTGCACAGAGAGAAAGTCAGACCAGCAGAAGGTAGCGACTGGTTATCCATATGGGTCTGGGAGACAGGCGGCTGGGCCAAGGGTGCCTCCCTGGTTTCTGGGGTGAGTGACAGGGAGGATGACGAGCTGTCAAGCTCCATCTTCCTTACGAGTTGAACGGAGTTCAGAGAACCGCCCCCCACCCCCACCCCGGGGTAAGGGATGCACATCAAGAAAGCACAGGGCATCATAAGAAATGCAGAGAGAGCTTCTGGCCTGACTCTGCCATTTAACAGATGAGTAAACTGAGGCCTAGAGAGGGGCATGCAGTACTCCCAGTCCCCCCACAACCAGGGCCTCCTGATTCCCAGGGCCTTTTGTGACCACGGCCCACCCCCAGCCACACTCCACCCACAGTAAGCCCTTTTTCTTTTCTTTTCCTCCTCGCGGTTCCCCTCACCTCTCTCCGGCCCGGCCCAGACCCCCTTCACGTGACCCTGACACCAAAGAAGCTGAAGACGGGCATCGGCAGCACCGTCATCCTCTCCTGCGCCCTGATGGGCTCCACGGAGTTCACCATCCGCTGGTACCGCAACACCGAGCTGGTGCTGCCCGACGAGGCCATCTCCATCCGCGGGCTCAGCAACGAGACCCTGCTCATCACCTCCGCGCAGAAGAGCCACTCCGGCGCCTACCAGTGCTTCGCCACGCGCAAGGCCCAGACCGCCCAGGACTTCGCCATCATCGTGCTTGAGGGTGAGCTGCAGCCGCGGGGAGAGGGGGGTGGGCTCAGGGCTCCCAAAGCCCCTACCGGAGGCGCCCGCCGCGGGCTCCCTACCTCTGCTCCTGATAGGAGGCGTTTACCTAGCGCTTTCTACGCACCAGGCAGACGCACTATCTTACTTCAACCTCCGAGGAGCCCCGTGTGCAGATCATTTTTTTATTGTTACTTATTTTGCAGTTGAGGATACTGAAGCTTCGGTCACTTGCCCGAGGTCACACAGATTTGAGCTTGGGTCTCTTAGCTATCATACTGTGTTGCCTCTGCCCTCCAAAATTACTAGGACTTCACTATTAAAGGATCTTCTTTAGAATCTCAAAGGCTTTCCATCCCAGAGGCCCTTCCCTTCCTAGAAGAGTGCCAGGAGCCTCCGGACTTTTAAATCCTCTCCCTGCCTGAGGCCTCTTCACCGTAGGCCCTGTTTCTTACCAGGGACTCGGGTTTCTGCCTGCTTCTCTCCCCGTAAAGCTGCGGTCACCCAGGGTTCCTCACTCAGCACAGCTGTGTATGGTGGTTCAGGTTGTTCACTGCACAAAGTGCCCAACCAAGAGGGTGAATAAGGACTGACATCCAGCTTGCCCTCCACTTGCCGTGCCGTGAGGCCTGGCACTGGGCTGTGACCCCACAGAGGAGGCACCTTTTTCTTCTTTGCACAAAGATATAGTGAGGCTTAGCAGAGGCCCCATCCTTACCAACAAATTTAGAGGTTCCCCAGCTCCTTTGTTGCTAAGGAAACAAAACAAAATAATCCTATTGCCTCTGATGATTTTTCACTGTAGTAACAGAGGCACCAAACCCAGGCAAGCCCCATGGGCATCAGGCTCCCACATGGGTCCATGTGACAGGTAGACCTATGGGTCCTCATTCCTTGGGGGTGGGACGTGGGAGCTGGGCACCCCTGGAACCTAAGCCCTCATCCCCCACCCTGAAGACAGTGCCCAGCAACTTCCCCCTGCGGCCCTCGCCGCCTCCTGTCCTGCCAGATCCCTGGTCTCTCTTCCCAATGAGGAGGCACACCAGCCAGGCACAGCCTAGCTTCAAATGGGTGCCTTTCATCTCAGGGGCCCCCCTGTCTGAACCACTCCCCACCTGGGAGCAGACCACCCCCTGCCCAGCGCATTTTCTCTCTGAGAAGACAGCCATTGATGGCCAGTTTGGAGCAGAGACGTGGAAAATGAGGCTGGTGGGAGGGGGAGAGTGTATGGGGGGGGGGGGAGGGGCGGGGACAGCCAGAAATGGAGGGCACAGGGAAAGAGAGAGGAGGGGCCGTAGGCAGTGGTCCCTGGTGGGCAGTCCCAGGCTCTGCCAGGCACCAGGCTCTCCCCAGGTTTTAGATACGGGTCTCCACCAGAAACGGGGGCAGGGGCTGGCAGACTGGCCGAGCCTCTGTTGGCATCAGCATGTGGGTGTGAAGTGTGGGTCGGATGTAGGGTGCCATGTTACACTTGCTTTCTTTCCTATGCTTGTTTTGCTCTTTTGCTTTTTTAAGTATTTAACGCCAGTTTTAATCCTTTACAAGAGTCCTGCGTGGAAGGATGGCCAGGGTTAATAATTACATCCCTCCTGTGCCATGTGAGGACATTGGGGCACGGGGGTTAATTGTCTTGTTCAAGGTTATTCGGTCACGGCCGCAGACCCCCCACCGCCCCTGCCCTGGGCAGCTTGCATTTTAAGCCTCCACCTTGAGGGCTTTTGCTAACAGGGCTACCACCCCCTCCTGCTGGAATGAAAGCTGGAGTCGGACTCTGCAGGTCCGGCCAGGTCAGTCCTGGTTCCACAACACCGTTAACCTCTGAGCCGCTGCATCAGTATTAATAAAGGGAGGAGAAAGAGGCGACAACGAAAAAGTGGAGGGCAGCTAACATTTATTAAGCACCTGCAAAGCACTGTGCTGAGCACCTTTACTGCATTAACTCATTTAATCCCTCACTGCGTCAGCATGTGGAATGTACACTCATTATCCCCGTTATCTCCATCCTCCGCAGATAAGAGATGGAAAGACTCAGAGAGGTGAAGTAACTTGCCCAAAGACACGGAGGTAACAGGTTGCTGAGGGAAGATTCAAATCAGGAGTGTTAATACAAGTGCAATCGTAGTTGGTACCTCCCAGGGTTTTTTGGATAGCGCATGAATTGATGTACAGGAAAGTCTATTATTATATTATTATTATGGCTGCTGCTCCCACTCCTCCTCCTGCTGGGGTGGGGTGGCCTGGTGGGACAGTCTCTCCATGGCTCAGTGACCCTGAGGGGGGCTCCTCGCTCCCTGCAGATGGCACGCCCCGAATCGTCTCGTCCTTCAGCGAGAAGGTGGTCAACCCCGGGGAGCAGTTCTCGCTGATGTGTGCGGCCAAGGGCGCCCCGCCCCCCACTGTCACCTGGGCCCTGGACGATGAGCCCATCCTGCGGGACGGAAGCCACCGCACCAACCAGTACACCATGTCCGACGGCACAACCATCAGCCACATGAACGTTACGGGCCCCCAGATCCGCGACGGGGGCGTGTACCGGTGCACGGCGCGGAACTCGGTGGGCAGTGCTGAATATCAGGCGCGAATAAACGTAAGAGGTGCCTGTCTACATTTAAATATCAGAATAGGCTTTTGAGTTCCTTTGCCATCTTTGTGGTGACCATTATTCTTGTGGTGATTAGTACTTATTATTGGTCGTCATTTTGATTTTAGTAGCGGTCTCTCTCCTCTTTCTCCCCCTCTTCCCTGTCCTCTGGAGGTCCCAGCGTCCATTCTTGTGTGTGTGTGTGTCTGGTACAGTTCACCCCCCATTACATTCCCACCGCCTTCCTCCCTCTTCTCTCCCGCAACCTGACCTGCCCCCCCACCCCATTCCTCCCCATCAAATCTCTCTGGCCCCAGGTACCCTGAGCGCCCCACCAGCATCCACCAGCCCCACTAGAGCCTTGCAAGGACAAGGACAGAAGGGGCAGTGGGGCCAGGCTTGACCTTTGGTGGGATGTCCACCAAGCCTGTGTTCCCAGTGTCCTCCCACTGAGCCGTCCCCCAAACGCTCCAGGAGATGTAAGCAGCCAGGAGCCAGGCGTCATCTTCTCCCAAACTGCCATCCCCCTCCTGCCCCCCAAGGCCCAAGCCATCAAGAGCAGGAGGCTCAGGGGCTGGCCTGGTGGTGCAGCGGTTAAGTTTGCATGTTCCGCTTTGGCAGCCCGGGGTTCACCAGTTCAGATCCCGGGTGTGGACATGGCACCGCTTGACAAGCCATGCTGCGGTAGGCGTCCTACATACAAAGTAGAAGAAGATGGGCATGGATGCTAGCTCAGGGCCAGTCTTCCTCAGCAAAAAGAGGAGGATTGGCAGCAGATGTTAGCTCAGGGCTAATCTTCCTCAAAAAAAAAAAAAAAGAGGAGGAGGCCCAGGCTGGGTGGGGTCACCCTAAGGCAGGCACCTCCAAGCGGGGGAAGGAGTCCTCAAGGTGATCCTCCCCATATCACTTCTCCAAGTCACTGTGGTGAGAACAGAGTCTCCTCCGAAGCTCTCTGCAGCCCTGTGGGGTCAGACTGGTCCTCATCTGACCCTATCAGTGACCCCTGACCCCCAGGCAGAGGAGGAGCAGGGGAGGAGGAGGGAAGAGGCGCTGGTCCGGGGCACTGCTGGCTGCCATGGGGGTAGGGCAGGGGCGCGGGGAGTGCATGTTAAATTCACCTGTGTTGCATCTCCAGCCCCACCTGAGGAACGTGGCCTCCCATTCGGCCACCCTCCTGCCCTCTCCTCTGAATTGGAAGCGAGCAGAGCTGCAGGGTCCCGGGAGATCCCTGGTCCAGCCCTTCATCTGCTGGAGGGGGTGGGACCTGAAGCCCAGAGTTTCTGGTCCCCACTGCAGCACTGTCCCTGCCTGCTGGCCTCTGAGCCCCTGTACAGCTCCCACATTGCCATCTGCCCAGTGACCCAGCTGACGACACTCCCTCCCCACAGCCACTGTGATCAGAGCCACCCGTTTATAGTCCCTTCTCAGGGACCCACAAAACACATTTACGTGTTGAAAGAAAATCACCAACTCACCCAGTGAAGACCTTCCTATTGTCTTTAAATATTTAATGTACATAAGATCCTTTTTGGTACAGACCATTATGAGCAAGTCAAATGAAGATAACAAAATCTCCACATGTCCATTTTAACCCCAAAATTTTAATCTCCTTGTAAATGAGGACTCGCCCTCCCAAACCCCAGTCATTTCTTGGTGAGGCTTCGGTTTGCCCACACCCCATCCCATTAGGGGAATGGATTCTTGCCCCAGGCATGAATGGAACGTGTCTGTTTGCCACTATTTGAAGCTAGTTACAGAGTCCTGGAGAGACCACGGGTGTCCCCAGTTCCAGCCTCTGCCTTCAGCCTTGTAATGAAGTTCTCTCCCTCCCCCCGCCGAATTTCCATGACAGTTTCAGAGGCCAAGCAACTGAGAAGAGCATCCCAGGGTGGCGCCTGACTGTCTCTGGCTAACCACACCACTTGCTCCTCCTCTCTTCCTCCTCCTCCCTCCTGACTTCTGCCCAGGCCCTCCCAGCATCCGGGCGATGAGGAACATCACAGCGGTCGCCGGGCGGGACACCCTTATCAACTGCAGGGTCATCGGCTACCCCTACTACTCCATCAAGTGGTACAAGGACGCCCTGCTGTTGCCGGACAACCACCGCCAGGTGGTGTTCGAGAATGGGACCCTCAAGCTGACCGACGTGCAAAAGGGCATGGACGAAGGGGAGTACCTGTGTAGCGTCCTCATCCAGCCCCAGCTCTCCATCAGCCAGAGTGTCCACGTGGCTGTCAAAGGTAGGCCTCCCCCAGACCGCAGCCCACCTGCTCCCCAGGACTGTGGGTCCCTCTCCGGCCAGCCGCTCAGGGAGCAGCAGGCAATCCTGAGTGAGTAGAAGGCCTAGGAAGAGAAGGCCTAGGCCTGGTGTTTGGGAGAAAGCAGGCAGGGTAGAAGCCTGGGGTGACACAAGAAGGCCATGAGTACATCTATACCCACGTCCCCTCTGTGGGCTGCAGGACGAGGCAGCTCTGACCACAGGGGCAGGAGGGGCCAGTGACACAAAAAGAGGAGCCAGGTCACCTTCTGGGCCAGAGGCCTAGGTCAGAGCTGGCAGGCTGTATCAGTCTCCTGATGTCAGCCTGGAGCAACCAAGAACTCAGCAGGGGCCCCCAGAGACCAACAAGAGGAGGTGAGGGGCAGGAGCAGGAGGCTGGTGGAGGGAGTCACGTAGGGGCCCCGACTCCCTGCTGGGGCACAGACTGGCCGGCTCAGGCCACGCTCACCAGATTGGCAAGGACCTTTCAACTGCTGATGCTGCTTGAGGCCTGGAAAGCACCTCTTGGTGCTTGAGAACCTCCTCCCTCCCAGGTGCTTCACACTCACTGCGGGGCAGGTCTGTGTTCTGTGTCAGGGCACTGAGCACAGGGCCTGGTACATGGCTGCCATTCAGTAGACGTCTGTGGGTTAAATGAGTGAGTGGATATAAACGAGCAAATGAATGAGTGTGGGAGTAAAGCCGGCTGTGCCCTTGGTTCTGGGGCTGTGCAGGTGTGTGAAGATCCTTCCCAAATACATTCTTTGGAACTGGCAGGCCTGGAGACTGTGTGGGCAGTGGGTGAAAGTGAGGTAGCCTGGTGGCTCTGGGGCAGGACAGGGAGGGAGAACCTGCCGGGCCCGGCTGAGGGCAGGTTACTGAAAGCCAGGCAGCTGGAATGTGAAGTCACTAAGTCAGTGATGGCCGTGATGGGGAAAGGGCTTACGTCCATTCTGAAGAGCCAGGATGGGCTCAAGCATGGGAGGATATGCAAAGGGCTGACCTGTGTAGCCTGAGGCTCTGGAAGGGTGAAGATGGCAGCCTGGGGCTCCACATGGAAGGAGAGGGGCCTGTGGTCTCCAGCCACCATCCTGGTCTCCAGCACCAGAATGCGATCATTACAATAATATGACAGATGTAATTGTGGAGGGCCCACCACACGCCAGTCCCGTGCTAGATGCTCTCCACGCACTGTTTCATTTCACCCGACGCTGCCCACTCATCTAAGGCAGCTACCATTTCATCCCCAGTTTCCAGGGCAGAAAACTGAGGCACAGAAGAGTTAACTCAGATGTCCTCCGGAATCAGAAGTTTTCCCGGGTCTGTCTAACTCCAGACCCTGGACTCTAACCCACAGTGACCCAGAGCAGGGGAAGGGCAGGCTGGGAAGAGGCAGGTTCCTATGCTTGTGCCCAGGAGTAAAGGAAGAGAGCTTCTGGGAGCACCTGAGAGGGAGTCAGGAACCAGGAGGGGAAGGCTAGCCCAGGCCCTGGGGCCCACTGGAATGAAGCAAAGCAGAGGAGTCTGGGCCTGCGAAGGGGCCCTGGCCCATGGGAAGGCCCCAGAGGGTCCCAGACCCCTGGTTTCTTTTGCGCCAAGAATGAAAGCAGGATTGAATGGAGGCCCTGTGGACAGGACCAGAGAAGTGTGGGAGAAGGAAGAGTTTGGGGAGTCACCTGCTGCCTTTGGTTTGGCCCCATCAAGTATGCAGACATGATGGGGCATCCAGGTGGAAGTGTCCACAGAACAGCTGGAAAAACTGAACGGCAGCAGCGAAAGGCAGGTCAGCATTTCTCTCCCAAGCTCCTTGTCACCCGGGCTCACCCTCGTCGGCGCACGCGGGCCATGTCACATGCATCCTGTGCACCCAACACCTGTCACAGTGCCCCACAGTGAGTGTTTCTTGAACTGAAACTGAGACTGTGATCTGGGTTGGAGTGACTTACTGGGAAGCCTGACTTTGAGCCCCGAGAATTGGGGGTTATGTGGCCCTCTCAGCCCTGGGGAGGAGAGAGGAGACCCTTACAATATCTGCCTCCTGCCTCCGGGCAGCTGCACCCCAGCCAGGCCGAGGGGCATCCTGGCCACCTTCTCAGCCTAATGCCTCTGCCCAGCCCAGGGGCCTTGTGCCAGCAGGAACCTCACAACCCCCAGGCCACATTCTCAGCTTGGTGGCCCTGGAATACAGAGCAGCCTGCCTCACCCCTCCTGGCATCGTGGGCCGCCTGTATCCATTTCTGTTACAAGCAGCGGACCGAGAGTTTACAGTGTAAACATCACATATTAAAACATCTAACCTTTGCTCTACTCCTTCTGCCTGCCCGCACCAGCGAGCATTTGGCCGGGTTTGTTGGCTTAAAAAAAAATAACAGGGCTCCAGCGAGCCTCAGAGTACGCAGAACATCCTGAAAGCTGCCTCTGCACATCAATTATTCAGCCCCATTCAGGGAGCGATCAGTCCTAATGAATTGAATCTGATGCATTCCGTCTGAGCGACTCGCTGGGCCTGTTGTGATTGTGCTGAGCGACAGTGTGTCCCCCAGCCCAGGGGGAGGGAAGGAGGAGTGTGCGTGTGTGCGTGTGTGATCCTAGAGGGCAGAGCCCATGCACCAGGCACGTGTGTCTCCCAGCACCCAGCATAAGCTTGGCCTTCATAAAGCGGGGGGAGGGGAAGGAGGGGGTATAGTGTACACATCTGCCCTTCCGCATCCTCAGAGTCTGAAAATCCAGCCCTAGAAGGGGTATTATTGCCTGTTTTCTCTCCAGACCAAGAAACAGCATTTGCATGAGGAGCTCTGGGACCCCTCCCACTCTGAAAGCTCAGGTCCTTCATCCTTGCTCTTTCCCCGACTCCCTCTCCCCACCTTCCCCACCTCATTAGAGTGCACTTTTGCAGAAGAACCCATCAGAGCTGATTATGGGCACGCTGCTTGATTAGCTGATGTGCTGTTCCAAGAGCTACTCAAGGAGGAGGGTGGGAGTGTGCCCCTGGGCGTGGAAAGGGGCCCTGACTGTGGGGGAGGAAGGCACGGGCCCAGGGGTAGCATCCTAGAGCCCACTCCTACCACCTGGCTGGGACGGGTGTCCCACCTGGAGAGGCAGAGCAGAGACCTGGAGTGTAGAAAGGGCGAGGTGGGGGTGGAGCAGGGCACTAGAAGCTGGAGACCAACTGGAAGTCCCCCCACCATCTCTCTGTGGGGCCAAGGCTTCGTGGACTGGGTGGGGCAAAAATCCATGCTGCTCCATGAGCTGGAAAAACAACTGCTGACTCCATTCCTTCTGGGACTGCGTGTCTACTGATGAATTTTTCAAACACAGAGCTAAGAGCAGAACACACCAGACACACATGCACGTGCAGGCACACACATGTGCAGAGACCTGTGCATGAGTATGCATGCACGTACACATTGGTGCACACTGTATGCATGTACATGCAACAAATGTACACACATCAACCTGTGCACTCTTGCACACGTTCACATCCATGCATTCTGGCAGTTACATATAAGCAAATGTTTCCTCTGTCTGTATCCTCCTATAAGGCAATATTCCTGAGCCACAAAAGGTGGCTGCAGGTGGTGCCATATGAATTATTGCCCAAATGAGCCTGCAGTGGCCTGGCGAGGTGGGAGGGGCCGAGGCGAGAGAAGGTGAGGATGCTTTGAGGGCTGTCTGGGCTTCAGTGCGGGTGACACTGACTGGCAGGGGAGAGCCAGGCTGCAGGGAAGGCAAATGCTCATCTCAGGGCACCCAGAGAGATCCTTGGCAAGATGCTAAGGGGAGGGCACATAGATCTAACCTAGATTTGGTGGCTTTAGGGCCCCCTGTAGCTGAAAAATAACGTAGCATAAAAGCATCTCTGGGCACGCAGGCTGAATGTTTAACTAACTAAGAAAGGCAGGGCTGCAACTGGGGCTCCTTGGCGTTGGCTCAGTGAGGGAACATCTCCATCCCCACATCTGAGCCTCTGAGGGCCTCTGGAGCCAAAACAAGGGCATGAAGGGCTTTCTGCCCATGCTCAGCAAGGCCAGGACCAGAAGGTGGTGCCAGGTCCCTGTGGAGAGCAAACAGAAGAGGGCACGCACACACGCTCACACAAACACTCTCACTCCCAAATGCCCATATTCCCCACCCATACTCCTTCCTCTCTCACTGCTCAAACCAGCCCCACCGTGTGCTTGGAGCCTCTGGAGGGGCCCCCCTTCCACCCTAGTGAATGGTGGGGGGCTTCTGTGATCATGGGGCTTAAGAAAGAGCCAGCCCCCTGGCCAAATGCCTGCTGTTGGCAGAGGGGAGGTTTGGAAGGGACCCGCCGGAATCCACAGGAAGGAGGCACACCAGGTTCTAGGGGCAGATTGCCCAATTGTGTTGGGGGCGGGGGGCACCAAGGAAGCTGCTGCCAACAGCCCTGTTCCTCAGCAGAGGAAACCGGGAACATAGGATCATGCATCCTCCTTATCAGACAGGGTGCAAGACGATGGTGGTGGTCACGATGTTGATGTATGATGAAGCAGCAGCAGCATCCTTGTATTATTTAGTGGCATCTCCTGTGCACCCACTATGTTCCAGGCAGTTCTATGAATATAGCTATGCTCTAGACAGACAAAAATCCCTGCCCTCAGGGATCTGCCACTCCAGGGGGGAAATGGGTAATGCATAAAAGATGTCCCATGTCAGATAGGGAGTGGGGATGAGAGAGCCAAGGGCAGGGGAGAATGGCTTGCAGTTTTATATAGGATGGTCAGGGAAGGGCTTCCTGACAAGAGAGGGTTGTGTAAAAAAAAAAAAAACTGAAGTAAGTTATTATTATTCCTAAAATTTCCTAAAAATTCCAAAAATTCCTAATAAGTGATTATTATTCCTAAAATATTAGACTTGTTATAGCTGGAAAATCAGCATCTGGCTTTAGAGGTTGCTTGGTCCAACTCCTCCGTTTTTCAGATGAGGAAACAGGCTCAGAGGCAGAGGCGGGTGGTGGTGAGGAGGCGACTTGCCCGCAGTCACTGGCATGGATAGCAGAGCCTGGAACCCAGGTGTCCGGCCTCCCGGGCATGGCTCTCTCTCCAGCAGAGGCTCCAGCTTCCCCCAGGGCCCGTTCTCTGCTGAACAGGTGCAGTAAATAAAAAGGCTCCGTCTCAAAGACAGATGATGAGAGACACCACAAAGAGTTTATGGGCTGGGCTGGTGGTCAGCACGCCCCCCTCACGCAATGCTCCCAAACAAGTGGCCATAAAGGCTTTATGGTGGCCAGACACCTCCTGGACTGCCACAACCGCTGGATCTTCTCGGTTCCTCCATCCTCTGGCCCCTTCACCATTGCAGCACCTCGTTCCAATCCTCCCTCCCTCAAATCTGGCTGAGTTGCCTTCTCACTAAAGATGACAGAGCAGGGCTTCAGAGAGAAGCCCCCCATTATGTGGCATTCGGCCCCCTACATTCAGGCTGTGTTCTGGGGAAATACAGGGACTCAGGGGCTGGAGGGGAGCCCTGGTGGGCTGCGATCAACACTGAAGAGGTCCCTGGTCATCACCGTGATGGAGGTAGTCAGAGCCCCCAACTCCTAAGGAGTTGGAAATGGACACACACATTCAGCCAGCCCATGTCTGCCTCTGAGCACTGGGGAAGACACCACTGGCTCATGGGTCAGAAAGCAGCCCCACAGCTTGGCAGCTGCACACATACACCTTGCAGAGCCTCCACATCCTGCATCTCCGAGCCTGCCGCTCACTGCGCTCCTCCTCGTATTCAGCGACCCTGCCAAGGAGCCAACATCTTGAGGCTTTCTTTTCCTTCCAGGCTGTCTCACGTGCCTGGAGTTATGGGGTAGTCAGAATGCTGGCCTGGACCTGAGGAATCCTGTGAGCAGTTCTGCCCCTTCATCTCCCACCAAAGAGTTCGTCAGGGGACGATTATCAACCACAGCATCACACCGGGCCTGTCAGCCCTTAGCAGGAGTTGAGGGTGGAGGGGAGCCAGCATCTGTCTTGGACCTCTGGGCAGTTGTCTGGTCATCTGCCTCCCACAGGTCAGCGCTCTAGAGAGCTCTGGCCAGCCCAGGTGAATGTCTACCCCCCAAGATGGATGTTGCCTACTCTCTCCTTCAGTGGCCTCTCAAATAGCCACCAATATTATTGCTGAAGACCAGAAGGGAACGACAGCCCCCAGATAGCCTTTGCCTCTTGGCTCAGCCTTTCCCACTCTGTCACTCCATCTGTTTTATAAAGCATGCGTGTCCTTTAACTCTCAGTCCAAACTCTACCTCCTCCATGAGGCTGTGGCCCCCAACGAGATGACACCTCTCTGCTCTGAGTTCAGCATCTGTATATTCAGGTGGTGCTTGTCCAATAATCACTGAGGGAAATCGCTCAGCTTCCCTGGCAAATGATAAGCTCCTGGAGGTTCTCTCTGTATTTTAAGCATGTTTCTACTTTCCCAGCCCACACGGAGCATAATGCCTTCACAGAGCAGGCATTTCATAAATATTAGATGAATTAGTTAATTAATGAATTAACCTGCCTTAGTAACTTGTTCCATTATCTAAATCCCTTCTTACTCAGAGAGGCAGTCTTTCCCTTGCCTGAATTAAATCTTCCTGCCTAATTTCAGTCTGTCACTCCCACTTGCCCTGTCCTCAGTGGAAGCGTGGTGCCTGACCATCCATCCCCAGGCCGTGGCCCTCCAGACTTGACAAGCCCTCAGCCCTCTCCTCCCTAGGCAGAACCCCCCAGCTCCTTGCTTTGGCCACATGTCCTCCTCGGCATTGCCCTCAGCATTGCCGAGACTCTCCCCTTGGTCACATTCAAATGTCTACAGGACTCATATCAAAGGAACCAGTTCGGGTGCTAGGACAGCAAGTGCCTGACCCCTAGCGAGGACCAAAGGAGAAGCCTCCGGATCCGAAATTCCATAGCACGAATACAGCATCTTGAGGAATAGCGTAGAGTCTCCTCCTCCTGGATGAACCCCAATCCTGTGCTCTCCTCACCCCTTGCCCACCTCACAGGTAACCTTCTAAGGTCAACCAGGAAATGATATCCAGACATGTGTTCATTCATTTACTCATCCCACAAGCACTTATTGGGCTCCTGAAGTTTGCCTGCTTACGGTACAGGAGCTGCAGGGCTGTGCAGGAGGAGGGCAGGCCTCACAGAAGAGATGGCATTGGAGCAGGGTAGGAAAGGATGAGCAGGCGTTTCCCAAGAATCCTGCCGGGCTCTAGCTTTGGGCCTTTGTGGGAAGGAGGACTAGACCAGAATTGCTTCTGCTAAGCTTCAGGAGACCAACTGAGTGGCAGATCTGGGTCTCTGCAACAATCCCATCAGAAAGTCCAAGGAGGCCAGAGGCCTCGATCTGATCTAGGCACCAAAAAAGTGGGGAGTGGAGATCAGCAGAGCCCCACAGAGGAATCTTCGGGAAGTCTCTCAGTAGTGCTCATTGGGCCAATGCTAGAGCCAGGGTCCTGCAAAAATCTACCTGGAGATCTTCAAGGCCCAGCAAGCCACTCAGAATACTGGGGGCAAGGACTCAACCCAGGGAGCAGAGGCAGCTGGAGAGTGGGATGGGGAGATCCAGACAACAACCGGAGCCCCAGAAAACCTGGCTGGATTTAGGACCTGGATTTGGGCCCAGGTGGATTGGGAATAAGATGGGTCAAAAGCCAGCCTTTGGGCCAGGAGCACAGCTGGTGGGAGATAAGAAGCACAAATGCCCAGCTGTGTTCGCCAGGCATGGGCTGAGGCTTGGAGCTGTGGGCGTTCCTGGTACCCTGTGACCAGAGTGAGGGTAAGGTGGGAGATGACACTGGGAAGGTCAGTTAGGGGCCCTGCTGAGGGGTGTGGCTCTCATCTCATGGGTCATGGAGGTAACATCCCTCCTAAATGTCACCTCTGGACCTAGCACTCCTCAGGATTCCACAGGGCTACCACGGCTTCTTCCATGTCCACACCCGGCCACTTCCCAGTGGCAGCTCCTACTCAGCCCTGAGAATCCTTGGGGTGCAGGGAGAGCCTTGGACATGCATAGACTGCCACCCATCCTTTCCCCGTCGGGGCTGTGCCCCGCTGTGGCCCTTCTGGGTGGGCCGGGGGTGGAGAGTAGCAGGCTTCCCAGGAGGGGCAGGGCTGGTGCCTAGGAGAAGGCCAGGGGCCTGTGGACGGCCTGGTAATTTAATTATTTGACTGCAGAAAGGAGATCTCATCTACTGGGTGCTCGTCCTTGTTAAGCTAATTGTCTGTCTCCTTCTCTCTTCTCCCCCCACTTGCTGGGGAAGTCGCTGTGGCCTAATTGAGTTATCATAAAGATAATGGCTAATGCTCTAGCCAGAGCTGAGAAAGGAGTATCCCTCTTACAGTAGCTCAAGCCGCAGACAGGCCGCCCAGGGGCAGAGATGTGGGCCGGGTGAGGGGGACTGTCTGTGGGGGAGGCTGTGTGGATGCTGCTTAGCCCAGTGAGTCTAACCAGCTGGGCATTGTGCAAAGGACAGGGCTTTCTCTCTGCTCTTTCCTGTCACCCTAGGGGAGCTCACTTATGTGACAAATGGATCGCTGGTCTGGGCACGTTTGGGGCTTTCCAGAGAGGCAACCAGGCAGCATAAGGGAGAGAGGCAGACAGATCAGGTCTCAAATCCCACTGTCACCTCTTATGAGCCAGGCGACCAAGGGCAAATTACTTCTCCACTTTGAACCTCAGTTTTCTCATCCACAATACAGAGACAGCTAAGCTCACATCACGTTAGTGGTAGGAGGATTCAGTGAGCTGGTGTGTGTAAAGGACTGAAATGACCAGCAATGGGAGCTTCCACTCGCCTGTCCTAACACTTGATGACGATGGAAAGGGCTGGAGGGGGTGACGGGACCTCTGCAGGAGGAGATGGAGAACAGCACCCTGGTTTTAGATGAGCAGCTCTGGGGCATCCATGGGGGACAGTCTCAGTGCCGGCCTTCCTCCCCTGGCATCTGGGCACGTCATCTCTATCTGTCCCAGACCCCCAGAGAGCTGTGATGTGCATCTCTGGGATGAGAAAGTGGGCACAGGGCTGCCGAGGAGTGGCAGGGAAGTCGGGGTCAAAGCTGAGCAGTATGTCAGTGGGCAGATGGGGGTCAAAGCACGTGGGTCATCACTATTCAAGTTCCAGGACACATCCGAAGGTCAAGATTAATGCAGGCCAGCCAAGGCCCTGAACAGAGATGGTGGGTCCAGGCCTTGGTGGGCAGGGAGACGAGAACAGGGGGACAATGGTGGGGCACCCCAAGAGATTCTGCACGTTTAGAACAAAGCACCAGTGCCTGGGGTAACTCTACTGAGAGCCCAGCCCAGGGTCAGGAGGAGCCCTAAGGTGAGGCAGTGCTGCTGGCCAGGCTGGGGCGAGCAGGGGGGCCTGACAGCAGCATCCCCTTGCCTTCCCAGTGCCCCCTCTAATCCAGCCCTTCGAGTTCCCACCGGCCTCCATCGGCCAGCTGCTCTACATCCCCTGCGTAGTGTCCTCGGGGGACATGCCCATCCGCATCACCTGGAGGAAGGACGGACAGGTGATCATCTCAGGCTCAGGTGTCACCATCGAGAGCAAGGAATTCATGAGCTCTCTGCAGATCTCCAGTGTTTCCCTCAAGCACAACGGCAACTACACGTGCATCGCCAGCAACGCAGCGGCCACCGTGAGCAGGGAGCGCCAGCTCATCGTGCGCGGTGAGCAGACAGGCCAGCAGCAGGGGAAGGAGGGTCCGGTCTTTCTAGATTTGGGGTTTGAATCACGGGCTGATGGAAGGCTGGCTCTGGCAGGGAGCTTAAAGATAAAGAGGTATAAACCTCTTACTTTCCAGGCCAGGAAACTGAGGCCCTGAGAGGGGAAGGCACTTGCTCAGTTAGTTACTGGCAAAGTCAGAATTGGAACTCAACTCGCAACTCCCAACCCCATACTCCGCAAAAGCTCTCAGCATCTTGGGTTTCAAAACTTCCTGCTCCCAACTTTATAATGGTCCAGGCACAGCTGACATTGAATGGAAGGTGCCCAAAGCCCCAGAAGACGTATCAGAGACTGAGATGATCTGTTTTTCCCTAACTCCCCTCTTTCTGCAGTGCCCCCTCGATTCGTGGTCCAGCCCAACAACCAGGATGGCATCTATGGCAAAGCTGGTGTGCTTAACTGCTCAGTGGACGGCTACCCCCCACCCAAGGTCATGTGGAAGCATGCCAAGGGTAAGCCCCTGGCTAGCCAGCATCTCCAAGCAGGACCAGGGAGGGGGAGGGGAGGGTGTTGATGGGACTTAGGGCCTATTCTCTACACACAACTCCTAGCCCTGGGTGGGAGCCGTGGGTTCTGAGCTTTAAGGGGACCCCAGATCTGAATGTCATCCTCAGCCACCCCTAGGGATCTGTGGACCAGGAATAGCTGTCATGCTGACTCCAAATTTCCTCTTGTCCTCACAGATTGGCCTCTCCCTTCCCTACTTCAGCCCTAGAATTCAGTGTATATCCACTTTCCCCATCTCTCTCCACCCCTCCCCACTCCACCCTGAGGTCTCAGAACCTCATTGGCCCCTGCTTCTCACCAGTCAACATATCCGGGCATCGTAGTCCTTCTTAGAGCCCCGCTTCATCCTAAGGACACATTTGATATCTGACTCAGCCCCTTGCCAACCTCTTCTCACAGACCATGTCCATTGCTGACATTTGGGGAATGAGAGGGGATACTGCAAAGCCCCCTCTTGGAGGATGGTTGGCCTCTTTCCCAGGCCTGGCTGCCTGAGACCAGGAAACTGCCATTTGATGGCTCAGTCTTCCTTTCGCCTGTTGCCAAGTGGCCCAAAGACAGCTCTTTCTTCCTCTCCAAGGAATTTACCCCAAAGAAGCTCAGTGCCAGGTGGGCATTGAGCTGAGGCCCCCATCTCCCTACCTCGGAGCTGGGGCAGGGCCAGACCTCAGGGAGGGTCTTTCCTGTTGCCCAGCAGGTGGTGTGTGGGCTCCCAGCACTGTGGGGATGCTACAAAATGGCCCTAGATTGGCAAGAGAAAGATATCAGGGCCATTCTTTGGGTCACTCCAGTCCATCCCAGCTCACTTCCTAGTCTAGACACCAGCCTCCTAACCGCTGCCTCCTTCCAGGGAGCGGGAACCCCCAGCAGTACCACCCAGTGCCCCTCACCGGCCGCATCCAGATCCTGCCCAACAGCTCTCTGCTGATCCGCCACGTCCTGGAAGAGGACATCGGCTACTACCTCTGCCAGGCCAGCAACGGTGTGGGCACCGACATCAGCAAGTCCATGTTCCTCACTGTCAAGAGTGAGTCCTGCCCCTGTGCGGCCCCCCAGCAGCCCCTGACACAGGCCAAGGCCCGTCTCTGCACTCAGCCTGCCTACTTGCTTGATTTCCATTGTTCCGTCTCTGAAGGGGAGGCAGGAAGGATTCCCAGTCAGAGTGGACCTGGGACCCTTGGATGGGGAATTCAGAAGCACTCTCATCTAAAACAATGGCCTCGCCCTGAGCGGCCTGCACTCACCCCACTCCAGTCCTGATAAGCTCGTGATTTGCTCTACTGGAGTATCATGTGACACCCCATTTCCTTTGCTCTGTAGGTTGGCAATTCGAACTTCATAGTCAGATCAAACAATTTATTTCTGTCACTTAATTTACACCTACTTGTGTATAACCTGTCTGTGGCTTAGAAAGGAGGATACCTTATACACAATGTAAGAGAAAGGCCCATGCGCAGAAAACCTGGGTTCCAATTCCAGATCTACCCGATGAGTTTGTGACTTTGGGTAATCACCTCATCTCTCCAGGCTCCACTTTCCTCCCCTGTGCTAGAGGATCATTCTCAGCCTCCCCACCCAACAAAACTGTCATGAGTAACACAGAAACTGATCACAGAAAGGGGAAGATGCTTCAGAAAAGCCGAAAGAGCAGTAAAACTCATTATAACTTGGTGCTATATCTGCGGCTTCTAAATCCCCAGACACAGAGTCAGCCTTGACAGTCTTGAAAGCCCAGAACATCCCTGAATTTTGTTAATCACATGCAGACATTCCTGCTGGGGGAGCCTATCCGTTTACGCTATTTGGGGTCTGTATAATGGGCCTTCCAGGAATCACATCGGGAGAGTGTCTGTCTGGTCCTATGTCAAGAAATGGACCACACGCCATGGAGGACAGCCATAAGAGCTTGAGTTTTAGCATCTGACCAAGCCAAGTGTGAATCTGGCTGCCATGTTGTAATTACTGTGACCTTGACGAGTTTACTTGGCCTTGGTGGGCCTCATTTTCCTGATGTACAAAATGAGAGTTGTAATAGTGCCTGACCCGTTATGTTTATCAGAGGAAGTCAGATGATATGTGTCAAGCCCCCACTATGGTAACTGGCACCCAGTAGTCCGTCAAAGATTTAGCCACTAGAATTGTTCCTCTTACCGGTAGTCCCTCCAGGGTCAGGTATAGGAAAGGCTGCAGAGAGCAGCGCCCGGTGTGCGGTCTGCCCAGCCCCTCCCCAGAGCTCCCTCCTGGAAGATCGTAGCTCCTTTATCGCTTGCCAAGCCCGTGTTCAGCTCAGCACAAGACGGGGAAGCCCCGGCGATCGATGCTCAGGGAGCTCCGAGCCGGAATCCCCGCCCTGGGGAGCTACTTCTCTCACACTATCAAAAAGCACTTTGTCCTTAATAAAGCCAGGCAATCAATCTACATCCCTCAGCCAGGGAGGACTTCCGTAATTCTGCCTGTGTGAGGCGAGAGGAAGAGCGGGCCCTTGTGGAGCCGTCCTTGGTATCTGATCCTTATCTTCCCACAGTCAGCAGGAGAGAGAAGCCCAAACTCTTTTTTTTTTTTTTTTTTTGGTCTTTGCTCTTTTCTCTAAGTTAGAGCATTCCACTGAACCAGCATGGCTGTGGCTTGGTGGTATGTGGTTTCTCTGTGGAGATGAAGGGGACATCGGTGACGGGCAACACAGTGGTCAGGGGGTAGGCTGTGTGTGAGGAAACCCAGTTCATGTCAGGCTGTCGCTGATGTCCTGGGGGGCCCAGGGCCAGTCACTTCACCTCTCTGGGCCTGCATTTTTCTGTGCCGTCCTTGCTTCGCAGCCGGGGCAGCAGCTGTGAGACACTCTGAGGTATTTGTAGAAAGTGCATTTGTAAATCCAGGGCAGCCTCGTGAACACAAGTGACACAGAATCACACACAGACCCACACACAATCGCAGTGGTGTCAACTTCTGGCCCCCCTCTTCCCAAGGGAATGAGGGGGGTTCATACTTGTGGGCAGAATCTAGACCTTGTTCCTTCCTTTCCTCCCCTTGTCCTAATTTCAGCTGCCTTTCCGTTTTCCTCTGCTTTTCCACAGTCAGGCACATGCACGCTCCTTTCATACATCTGCTCCGTCTCGCAAACACCTCCGGGTCATATTTTCCCACTCACCACACCTCCCTCAAGCACCGTCTACACAGTGTCTCTCAGCACTTCCTCACACAGCCTGTCTGCACCACCGGCTCCACGCTCCCTGCCCCCTCCCTCATACAACCCTCAGCCCACAGGCTGCCCTCCAGCCTTCCAGCTGTGCTCTCACAACCTCTCAGCACACTGGGGGTCTCCAGACCCTCACACACGTGCTACCTCAGATGGCCTTTTCCTCACACCCTTTCTCTTTCATAAACACTCCCTTCCATTCCTCCCCGCTCTCCCCAGTGACCTGCCCAGCCCTGCTAGAGGCCCCTACGCCACCCCAAATGCCAGCAGGAGAAGAGCAGCAGGGCCAGGGGCATTTGAGTCCAGAGGGCAGTCGGTGTGGAGGGCTGAGGACAGCCAGGCCCTCTCTCTAGGGTTGGAGGGTCTGACTGCTCTTCTGTAGCAGCCTGAATAATGCTTCTCGGTATCTGGCTGCCGGAAGATACTCCTGTGACAATGTGACAATTTGAGAGGGTGGGACATGGTTGGGAGCTTTCATTCTGCCTCCTGCTGCTTTTACACAGGCGTACTGCTCCCGGCAACCGGCCCTCAGCTGCTCCCCTGCACGTCCACCCCGTGCCTGCTCTGCCCTTCTCCTCCGCCACTCTCCCTCAACCTCCCCCCTCCAACCCACTCTGACTTCAGCTGAAAGGGCACAGGAAAGTGGGAAGGACCTTCAGGACCTGGGCACATGGGTCACCAATGGGATTACGGGGCAGAGCCATTCCTAGTCATCGCTTGATCTGTCTCCAACACCCACACTGCCAACGTCCCCCGCACCCCCCTACAGAACTGGCCACAGAAAGACCACCATTTGCAAGGCCAACTTCAAGTCTTGCCTCAGTGTCCCTAACACACTCAGGGAAATGTTCACCCAATACAGCTCCACCTGGTCAGACCTCACCCTTTTGTGATCTCTCAGAACGCAAACTGATCTTAATGCCCTCTTTGGCCAAGTAGAAGTCAGAAAGTAAATATATCAAAGGGACATACCTCATAGAAAGCATGCAAGTGTCCAATTGGACATTTGTGGTTGGCCTCTGCTTGGGAGTATCTACACCATTGACCCTGATGGTTTCCAATGATAACTCAACACGTGCTCGCTGAGCACTCACTAAATAGGTCAGTAAAACTCCGTGGCTAAGAGCACAGACTTTAGAACCAGATAGACCTGGGTTCAAATCCCAGCTCTGCCACTTGGTAGCTGTGTGATCTTGGACAATGATCTCTGTAAGTCCCAATTTCTTCATCTGTAAGTTTGGAATTATGATGCTTTTTACTCATTGGTAAGGTTTAAATGAGATGTACTTAGAGCAATTAACACAGTACTTGGCACAAAATACACAGTTTCGAATCGTTAGCCATCAATCAGTAGTTAAGGTGCTGAAACTCTATTGATGAGCAAAACAGAGTTGCTGTCCTCAGGGAATTTAGAATCCTGAAGGTGAGATAGACATACCCAAAACAACTAAACTGCACAAAACAATAAGTGCCTTAAAAAGCCACAGACAAGGTGATACAAAGAGAATCAGGGATGGAGGAATCAAGTTTAACTTTGGGGATGAATAAGGGAATGTCAAGCAAAGCTCCACAAAAGCAGTAGTCTGTAAGTAGGACTTGCAGGCTGAGAGGATTCTGACGGGAACCCATGGGGCAAAGGTCGTTCCATTCCAGCATGAGCAAAAAGCATAGCAAGGGCATAGAGGCAGGAAAGTCCATGCATGTCATCTGGGGAGGTGGGGACTCAGGGTCTCTGGTGGAGGCTGAAGGGAGGATGGACTGTGAGGTGCTTGTGGGCTTTCAAAACTGTTTTCCATGTTGACTTGACTCTGGAACCAGAGGGCCAGGAGCCCAGGGTCGGGTGGAGTCGGGATTCCAGAGCGGGTTCTTGGAGAATTGCCCTGTAGAAACTTTCCTCGAGGCCCCAGGTTGCTAAGAGTGTGTTCTGGTGGGCAAGTGATTTTCGAAGTTCCTGGACATCCTTGCTGGTAACCAACCAGACGCGACGGGCCCCCACGCCTCCCTGATGCCCACGAGGTTGGTGTGAGCTGAGCCCATGAGTGTCTGAGCATACAGCCCAGCCTAGCCGCCGTCACGAGTACAGCACTTGACAGTTTACAAAGCTCTTCCCATACCCTGCCTTGAGGTCAGCCAGCTATAGCTCCTTCTCAGAGAAGGTGAGGCACTGGATCAGGGTCGTTGGGTGATATGGTCCCAGCTGAGACCGGAAGTTGCCTCTGTGGACTCATGGTTAGATAGAAAGAGCGCAGACCAAGAGTCAGAAGGCTTGATGCTGGGCCTGGCTCTATGACTCACTGGCTACATACCCAGGAGCCGTCCTTTCCCCTCTCTGGGCCTCAGTTTCCTCATCTGTACACTAAGAGGCCTGGACTAGAATCTAGTCACTAGCTGATCCCAAGGTCCCTTCCAGCTCAGACAATCTATGATTTTAGTGGTGTGCGTGGTCCTTTCAGGGCACAGACCGCCTCCCAGAACTTGGTTGAAAATAAATGTAATTAACAGGAAAAAATACCACATCTACAGAGCTTCCTTTTATCTCCCTTTTAAAATGTAAAAAAAGAGATAATGACCAAGAGGAGAGGAGGCAATTCCTCCTCCAACTGACACACGGGGGAAAAAAATAAAGCATCTTCAAAGAGAATGCTTCACTGAGAGGGAGGTACAAAGCCGGGCGGCTTAGTCTGGGGTGCAAGGGGCTGGCTGTGTTTTGATGTCGCCACCGCACGGCCGTGCCTCCCGGGACTCGGCAGCCCCCTTGTGCAGCACATTACCTGATTAGACAGGTCCTTTTACATCCTCCAGACTCCCCTCCAACTTCGTGAAGGCTCCGGTGA